ACGTGGTTTTGCTTTCTGTTTTTCTTATGTAAGAAAATCTAAAAAAAAAAAAAATTATATATTGAATAGAAAATTTGGCTTTTGTAAAATAAAATCAAATATACTAAATTCTGAATGTAAATTATTCATAACTAGATTTTTTTAGTGATAATACTCTCATACATGAGTTTAATCTTTTTAAAAAAATTTATGTTAAATATAAGTCAGATTCAAGTTTTTGAAGGATTTAAATTAATTATTCACACTTCTAACACTCATTGTTAATGCTCGAAACGCAGTGTAAAAACGTGTAAAAATGCTTCTTAGTAAAAATGGGTAAGCCGCGTAAACACATAAAAATGGTAGAAACGCAAGTTTTTAAGCTTTTACTAAACTTAATTTCTTTATTTTAAAAATCTTTTTTTACATTTTTGTAAACTCTATTTTCTCTATTTGTGTTTTTGGACTTATGTCTTATATAGTTATGTGATTTATATATGTTAAATATGAAGTTATTCATTGAATTTTGAGTAGCGGCTTGTGTGATTTTTTTTACACACACACACTCTCTCTCTCACACACACACACATACAAACCTTAAGTAATAGAAATTTTACATTTCGTGTCGTTTCTTCGATTTACATTTCGCTCACCCCTTTCTGTTTCTATATAGAAACTTGGTTTTGACAACATTGTTAACACCTACTCAATGCAAAACGGTTATTATTTATTACTCTTTTTTTTTTTTTTTTTTTTTTTTCAATTTCTTATTGCTTGATTTGCTGAATAAACACTTAAATCAGACTCTGAAGTAGTGTTTTAAAACTCCGCCCGATTTCCTGGGTCAACCCTGACCCCCCTCTCTCTGAGGGTTAGGGTCAACAGTTAGACCATGCATGCACGTTGATCCCTCTGACCCCCGAAACCCGATCTGGTCTCTGTGACTTCTGAATCAGGAGGGTCACTGCATTTTCTTTAATAAAAAAAATTCACACAAAACGATGTCATTTTCTGAAATATGAATGTGGAGAACAAACTCAAATCTTCTATTCTCTCCAGACATATTCACCTCAGTGGTTCCACCTCCTCTCCTCTGTGGCTCCGCTTCTTCAGTCTTCCCTCTTTGTCACGCCGTCGCTTCTTCTCTGCTGTGGTGGTTTTTCTCTTCACTAATACACTCTTTTTCTTGATTGGTTTCTCTGCTCTGAGCATGTCTGATATTATTGTATTATTAATAGGGTTTAAAGCTTTCTCTGACCCCTGATGTATTTACTCTCATATCAAGAAAATAGTAAATAAAAAATGATGCAAACTAAGATTTTTAAATTGTATCGCAACAATAGTGAATTAGGAAATTGAATTGGATGAGATGTCATTGCTCATGGAAGTGCCTTGTTGCTAGTTGCACCTATTGCTTGTATTTTTGACTATTTGTTAACATCTGGTAATGATTGGTCATCCATTAGAATATGTGTTTTATACTTCGATATTTTGATACTTTGATTAGCTTGTGTAATATTGATTTGTGGATGTAATTGGTTGAATTATGTTAAACATATTTTGAATCTTTGATGATTGATAGTTTATTTTTTTGAATTTTTCATATAAGATATATATTTATATATTTTTAATATATAAAATTAGATCAGCGAATTAACCTTGTGACTCTTGATCTCGACCGAGTCAATGACTGAGCCAAGTTTTTAAACATTGCTCTGAAGTTGAAAATTGCCATTTATAATTTGTTTGGCACTATCGTTGCGCGCGTCTTCTATAAAAATCGAGATATATGGTTGCTTTAATTAATATTTTCACTGATAAAATTGAAATCCTATGTGCACACTATCACTTTTACATCAGTTTTTTTTGGTAAATACTTTTACATCTTGTTTTTATATATTTTTGTGGGCGCTTATAACTATGTTAACTTGTGTTAAACTGTTAATGAATTTATAATGTGTTAATAACTTAAATTTTGAAGTTATAATTAAAAAATGTATTAAGATAAAGGGTTTGTTTTTTCTGATGTTACTTTAGATAACTTTATCTAATGTTCATCAAAACAACGTCGTTTTGGGACGAAAATCATGATATTTTTGTAATTTTAATTTATTTCAGGGTTATAATAGTCTTTATCACTCTAATTTTTAAATTTTTCAACTCCAAAACGACGTTGTTTCGATGAACATTAGATAAAGTTATCTAAAGTAACATCGAAAACTTTTTTCCCTAAGATAAATTAATAAGTCACGTACAAATGAAGTATAATTTACTACCTGTATAATTTACCATTAAGCACGTGGATCAACTGGTAAAAGTTGTTCTAACTTAATCAGTGGTCTCTAGATTGAGTCCTTGATATTTGTATAATTAATTTAGAGCTCTAAAATTTGAAAAGTAAGAACAAGTTTTAATGTTAAAAAATTGAAAGAAATTAATTTGAGAGTATAAACAATTAATTTAAGATTTTAAGAGCAAAAAACTGAAAAATAATTATTCATTTGAGAGTTTCTATGAAATATTAAAAAAAAATGGTAAACAGTTAAATGACATATATAAAGGGCTTTACGACTCTCAGCGGTAGGATAATTTTTTTTTTCCTACCACATATTTATTTATTTTATTTTTTTGCTGCTGAAGACTAAATGTAAGATATTTTCTTGGATAAAAAAATGGTTTTATTAATCTCATGTTAAAAGAGATAGTTATCTTATGTCATAGAGACAAACTAGTGGGCTCCACCACCTGAGAAAAGAAAAGAAAAGAAAAAGGTGGCACAGTTATCGAATGGTGTGTAGGAAAAAAAACTTGTCTCGTGTGACATGAAAATAGTTTTTCCTATAAAAAAAATGTAAGATATTATCTCCCTGTAAACTCTATTGTATGATATTCAGACGTACATACTACATATAGAATTATAGACGGAGCCATGCGGTGAGCACAAAGAAACTACTCTTTCGCCTTTTACTAAAGAACTATAGATGTAATGCCAACAATGTCAAAAGGGAGATTGGATCCTCTCATGTAAAAAAATGATATATTATTTGATCACAATAACTCATTGTTAATGAGATAAGAGAGAGAAAAATATATAATTTTTAAATGAGTAGTTATGATCAAATAACATGATCACATCACATGACTATTTTTTCACATGAAAAGATTCACTCTCGTCAAAAGGACAATTTTGAATGAGCAGATATGGCCCAAAACAAGGTGGCTTTTAGTATGCACCAGTTCCCACGCGGAAGCACGTACTCTAAGAGGACGTTTGTAGAGAAGATAATTTTTTTACTGAAAAAACATAATTAATGAAGAAATAGTAAAAAAGTGAGTTTGATGGAAAAGTTAAAAAAAAATTGTTTGGTTCACCGAAATATTATCGAAAAAATTTATGTAAATTTGCAAAGTCTATATTTGATTAAACGTAAAATAGTGATGAGAAAATTAGTTGAATTGACCAAACACCCCTATTATCAATATTTTTTAAACAAACCACTACCTACAAATGAGAGTCCAACACTAATAACTTGATTTCTTTAAATATCACTTCCCCAAATATCCTAAAATACCACACCCTATTTGTGAATAGTTAGTTTGAGCAAAAAAATAACACAAATTTAATTGCCTAGGCTTTCTATTTAGCTAGTTTTTTTCCCCCCAAAACTTGAACCAAACATGGTCTTTTTCAATACCCACTCACAGTTTCCCATCAAACTCAAATGAAAACCTATCCTAAACACACCCTAATGTCAAAACACCATGGGATTATCCAAGTGGATCCTCATTTAATATGATTACGTCACGTGAGAAAATTATAATCATATAAATATGAATCAATAATGAAAAGGGATAGAGAAAAAAAATATTATAATAAATAGTTATAAAATCATAACCATTGATTTACCCTTATATTATATGGTTATGATTCTCTCATGTAATATAGTAATGTTTAATAACACGAGGATCTATCTCCAAATGTGTCATTCTCATCCATTTCTTCAACCCTTGCTACCGTGATTTAAAATTGTTCACTAGCGGATGGAATGATGTCAATGATGTACCAATATTAAAAAACCTTAAAAACCGAAATTGGTTAGGGTGGATATATATGAGTATAACAATGGACAATTGCCAAAATAACAGGGTTTGAACCGAGGACTTTTTGGGTCAGAGTTGGATAATTATCACGTCCCTTGACTGATATCAATTACATATATGTATAGACCTCTTTCCCCACTTGAGTCGTGGGATATACCTGGAAGACTGGACTCGTCCCAAAGAGGCAATTTGGATAATGAATCCTAAAAAATAAAAAATTACATACACGGGTGAGGATAACAGTTCCATCACCTTGTGCATGATCAACGGCCAAAATCTTTCGTAAATGATTTCATACAAAATGGTTTAATAATTGGTTTCTAAAATTACTTATCATATATTTCATGTTGTTATCCTACTCCTTAGGGTCCAAAATAAAGTGTTTTTCCAAAAAAAATAAAAATAAATAAATATCTTTTTTCGGTCTTCGGTAAATTTTACGATGTCCGATTTAATCCTTAGCAAATAAAAAGACTATTTGTAGTCCCTAAAAAATTCAAAATGGACTCATTTAGTTGAAATCGCGATCCTTCACCAATTCAAAAAAGATCCACATTAGTTCTTCGAAAAGACTAAAATGGATCCATTTTGAATTTCTCAAGACCACGAATAGCCTTTTTATTTGCTAGGAAATTTATTAAAAAAAAAAAAAAAACCGTTATGATCCACCCCGCCTTCTCTTCCATTCTTATTTCTTAGTTTCATGTCTAACACCCCCAACAAAAGGTTATTTTACTTCAATACTACAAATTTTTATAATGCTACTGAGAAGATCAGAAGGCGTGACACATAAATTTACAATTTATATTTCGCCAGATTTGTATAAATTAATTAAGTCATAAACAAAGATAGTCATCATTAAGATTCAAAGCAGAATGAACCTAGAGTTGTTACGATCTTTGTATGTTCAACTCGCTATCAAGAGTGAGATTTGCTATGCGAATAGAATCATGATAAATCTAAAGATATAGTAGATTAGAGTTGCTTGATGCTGTTAGGATGGAAACTTTTCAAACAGCTTTGGTAAGGAGCATCTTGCAGCACATGAAGGACACATGGTTGGGTTAAAACATTGCTTTTGCTTCATTGAAACTGATTATGAAATTCTTCTAGCTAATGCTACTTATTCAATTGAGCCAGGGGACATGATTGGCCAAGATTCAAACATGTTGAAATAATGGGGTGAAGCTTGTGACTTGCAACTCAAGGACCACCATCTGCACCAACCATGACAGGACAATTAATTCTCTAAATATCAATAAATTGGTCATGAAAAGAGCTTGGCATTGAAATAGAAGTTTAAAGGGTAAATTGCGGTGCACAAGACTTCCCGATTTGCAAGGATAAGAGTGAAGGTCGACTGTACATAATCTTACTCTGGCCTTTTTTTCCTAAGTTATTTTCTAGACTCGAACCCATGACTTTCCGGTCACAAGAAGCAACCTCAACTAGAAGTTTAAAGATGTATAAAAATGTAATCCAAGGAAAAAATATATCACTTGAAAATTTAAAGATAAGCTCTATTAATATCAATCAATTACCAAAACATTTTTTATTATTATTATGAACATTTAAGCTTTCTAACCTTTGGAAGAAGCAACTTGATCTTCATCCAGTGTAGATTCTGATGTAGGAGAGGTTGGTGTATTGCTGACGTATTCCCTAGCATCAATCAACATTGCAATGACCTCTTTCATTGTAGGCCTATTAAGTGGAGATGTACTTGTGCAAAAGAGAGCAATTTTTAGAATAAGAGACATCTCTTCAACTGTTCTTTGTTCATTCAGATTCAATCTCTTGTCAAATAACTCAGATGTTGGTATAGATGCTTGAATTGCTCTTCTCACCCATGTCACCAAATCACCACCCTGTTCCAAAGGTTGAACAGGTGACCTCCCAATAACTAGTTCCAGCAAAACTACCCCAAAACTATAGATGTCACATTTCTCAGTCACCTTCATGGTGTAAGCATATTCTGAAAAAATAATCAAGCAACCATATGATAAAGCATAAGGATTACAATGACTACATCTAGCTTATCAAAACACAATACTAATATCAACTTTTGATAGTATGCATTAACCCCATCTTGGGATTGGTAACCTTTTTACTGAAAATATTTCTTAATATGCTTCCTAATAAATAAATAAAAAGGCAAATTCTGGTGCATAAGGCTCCTCGACTTAGCCTTACCATTATATTTTTGCAAAGAGGTTGTTTCCCAGACTTAAACCTGTAACCTTTCAATCACAAGGAGCAACCTTATCACTGCTCCAAGAGTTGCTCACAATGTGCTGTGCTTTCTATTAAGTATTTTTATTTTCTTCTCCAAAAGCATTGTCACATATGAAAAAAATAAATATTGGAAATTAAATCATAAGAAAAGATTAAAGTGGGACTCAACTATTCTAATAATAAGTAAACCTATAATTACTGCACCCATGTAGTGAGCTTATTCTTACCTGGGGCAATGTAGCCATATGAACCTGCCACAGCAGACATGGATTTTGAGTAGGAAAAGTCAATCAACTTTGCCAAGCCAAAGTCTCCAACATGAGCCTGAAACACTTCATCAAGTAATATGTTGTTTGACTTTATATCACGATGGATGATTTGAGGTTTACAATCATAATGAAGATAGCATAAGCCTTCTGCTGCTCCAAGAGCAATTTTATACCGGCTATTCCAATCCAGTGCACATGTGCTTGCATTGGAATGAAGTTGTTCCCCAAGGCTTCCATTTTCCATGTATTCATATAAAAGAAGATTAGAATCCTCATGATAACAAAATCCATACAGCTTCACAATGTTCCTGTGCCTGATCTTTCCAAGGGTTGAAATCTCTGCAAAGAAGCTTCTGTCAACATTTGCTCCTTCTCCATGTGAATTCAGCTTCTTGACAGCAATGACTTCACCATCATTCATAACAGCCTTGTAGACAGTTCCACAAGCTCCTCTTCCAATAACTGCATCTTGTGAAAAATTGCCAGTGGCTTCCAAGAGATCCTGGTAAGTAAAGCCTTCTTTAGGAAAGTAATAGTTATCAAGAACATGAGGCTTTGTTTCTCCTTCAAGTGAAACAAAAGCAGTGCCACGACGCCTCATTGCAACACATATACACACTATGAAAACAAGAGAAACTAATCCAACCACCCCAGAAGCAATGCTCACTATCTTTTCCCTTGATGAACCATCTTTTATCCAGCTTGGTTTTGCATGATGAGATGAAGCTTCAGATGGATGACAATGATAAGTACCAACACGGCACAATCCATTATTTCCAGCAAAATTTGTGGAATCCATCTTCCTAAATGCAGTGGTGTCAGGAACAGTTCCTACCAGCTTGTTGTTAGATACATTGCATACTAAAAGACTTGGAAGCTGACCAATTGATGCAGGAATTTCACCAACAAGTTCATTGTCATTCAAGTAAAGGGATTCCAGCATTTGCAAGTTCCCCAAGCTATCAGGAATTGTGCCAGAAAGTTTGTTGTGGCTCAAGTTAAGTGCAATCTGAAGAGCAGCAAGTCTTCCCAAATGATAAGAGATGCTTCCTGAAAATTGGTTGCCACCTAGCTCCAGCTCTGTGAGACGAATAAGATCCCCTAAAGTGCCTGGAATTTCTCCAGAGAGTGCATTATCAGAAACTTTCAACAGCTCCAAATTCACCAGATTGCCAATTTCATTTGGAAGCATGCCAGTGAACTTGTTCCTGCTAAGATCAAGTCTTTGCAGTTTTAGACAGTTTCCCAACTCACGAGGAATGCTACCACTGAAAAGATTAGATGAAACATTGAATGTGACAAGTTGTGCCAAATTTCCAATTTCAGAAGGGAGATACCCAGTAAAATAATTATCTGACAAGAGAAGCCTCTCTACTTTTTTAAGTTGACCTATCCCAGGGTTTATTAGCCCAGAGAACTGGTTCTGATAAAGTTCAAGTGCAGTTAGATTGTGAAGTTCATACAGTTCAACAGGTAAACTTCCTGTTAACTGGTTATCCCCCAACATAAGCTGCACCAGAGACTTACAAGTTTTCAGGCTGTAAGGAATGTTCCCAAACAACCTATTTGACCCAAGGCTCAGAAATTGTAGCTTCTGATATTCACAAAGATGGAGAGGTATCATACCAACAAGATTATTTGCTGATATGTCAAGAATGGTAAGGTTTCTAACAGCTCCAAGATGAGGAGGAATCACACCCTCAAGTTGATTATCAAATAGCTGCAAATCCTCCATGTAGGTAAGATTTTGAAACTCAAGTGGAATTGTACCTGTTAAGTTATTCATTGAAAGGTCTAGATTTTTTAGCATCCTCAACTGCCCAAGCTCCCATGGAATATGACCCTGCAGATGGTTTTCAAATAGATGAAGCAAGGTGAGATTAGAGATCTTCCCCAACTCTTTGGGAATGATCCCAATCAAACGGTTTTCAGATAGATCTATCTCAATAGCACTTGTGCAGTTCCCTAGCTCTGGTGGAATTGTTCCATTCAACTGGTTGGTGTATATGTACAACTTCTTCAACCTGGATAACTTTCCCAGCTCCTTAGGGACACCACTGAATAAGTTTTGATGCAAAGCTAGCAACTCAAGGCTACTAATATTTCCAATCTCAGGAGGAATATCCCCAGATAAAGAGTTTTGCCATAGAATCAAACTGGTAAGGTTCTGAAGCTTTTGAAGCTCCCTTGGAATGGAACCTTCTAGTTGATTCTGTGCCAAACCCAATATCTCCAAGCTCTCACACTCACTAATTTCTGCAGGTATTGGCCCTGAGAGGCCATTTAGGCCTGCCCTTATAACTCTAAGCTGCTTCAACTTGCTGATTGATGTGGGAATTTGTCCAGTTAAATTGTTGCTATAAATGAATAGCTCCTCAAGTGATTTTAAATTCCCAAGCTCTTCTGGCACTTCACCAAACATATAATTTTCACACAGGTAAAGCTTTATAAGTGTTGTGATTTTCCAAATAGGGGTCTGAAGTTGTCCATGAAGCCTATTAGTACAAAGGTCTAAAATCTCTAAACTATGACAGTCAACAAAACCCTCAGGAATAGGGCCAGAGATGAAATTTTTTGACAGATTCAACTCAAGTAGCCTTGGAAGGTTACATATGCTTGGAGATAAAGTACCAGACAGATTGAGGTGGTAAAGTTTTACAGAAGTTACCATTGAACCAGTGCAATACACACCAGTCCAATTGCAAGGAGTCAAATCAGAAGAGTTCCAGTTTTGAAGATTGTTTTTTGGGTCAAGAAGGGAACTTTTGAACTTCAAAAGACTTGAACCCTCTTCATTAATCGAACTTACAAGGATGATGCCAAGACAAAACAATAGCATCATGAAAATACCATTTGGAGAGTGAAAACTCCACTCCAATGCCATTTCTCTTAGGCAAAAAACAGAAAAGCATCAAGGGGTGGTTCTATTATGCCACAAAGGACAACAGTTAAAAAGATTAAGCAACTTCAAAATTGAGAGCAATATGGAAAAGCTTCACAGAAGCTAAATACACAAGTGTGAACAGAAGAAAAATTGAGAGCTTCAAGACAAATCCCAAGATGATATAGAAAATTTAAAAAAGAATAAAATATATATAAAAACCGTGTTGGAAAAGGAAGAGTAAGCTTGGCGGTGAGAACAACAGAACAAATCAGAACCCAATAGAGAAATAACCCATTTTGTTGCAGAGAAAAATAAATAGACCCACCAAAGCAATCAATACAAAATCTCAGGGATAAGGATGATATAGAGGAGAGAGAGACTCACACAACACACAACACAGTGACAAAGACATACCCTTTAGGCTAATAAAAATCACTGATAGAGAAAGAGAAAGAGAGAGAGAGAGAGAGTAAAAGACATAACATTGATTGATGAGAGCATGAAAGTGAAGCTGAACCGTGAAAGATCACGCAGTGGAGATAGTTGAAAGTGTTTGGTCAACGCTGTGTGTTGTGTTAAAGCACTTTACAGCAAAATGGATAAAAACAACTTGTTGTTGTTGTTGTTGCTATGTTGTGTTCTGTTGAGTTTTGTTTTTCTTGTTCATTCTTTTTCTTTGTTCTTCTTCTCTTTTTGCTTGGTGTTCTGGCAATAATCCACCACCTTATTGTGAAGTCTTCATGCACTGTTACTATCATTTTGTGTTTGACACAGATTGAGTTGACAGGTTAACAATAAACGGTGTGGATTTGAGAGTAACGAGACGTGTAGATTCCTTAGGATCACAATCTCCGCCATTGTTGCTGGGCCTGCCAATATGGGAAGAGAAAAAAAAAAAAAAGAGAGAAATTTTGGTATGGTTAATGTGTTGAGTCACGAATGTAATGATTTCTCTCATGGACCTCAATGGAGTCAGTGCCATAGTGCCTAATCACATTTCAATTTTCTACCTCTAGTTCTTTGCCCAATGGGTCACATGCTTGAACATTCACTTGAATGTTGGTCAACGTTGTTTTTATTTTAATTTTTTTTTTTGGGGGCGTGTATTATTTTGTAATTATATACTACTAAGATGATGAACAGCTAACAGTAATAGATTACGGGTATGGATGAATTTGAAATTAACAGTTGAAAAAAATAATAATAATTGTCATTAATTTTATATTGATCCAATAATAATAAAATAAGTATCAAATGCAAGGTTGTTAAGACCATACTAACATGTATCAAATGCGAATTTGTTAAGTTTGATCTAAGACCATACTAACACGTATCAAATGCAAGGTTGTTAAGTTTGATTTGTATTAGTGATCCTATTTTTTAGTAGATAGTATCTGGTGTGGGAAGTTCTAATAGATCCGATTAATCTGATTTTAGGTTGGAACATATTCATTATTTTCGAGAGTTGTGGCTCTCATAAAATTAGTACTACTTCATCTCTCCATTTCTACTTTAAAGCCTTGAAATTTGTCTTCCCCTTTCCTCTTCACAATGTTCTCATGATAATAATTAAATTCAACCCTGTGCCACCATATATGATTGAATGATAGGTTCGAATTAATTTATTACTTACAAAAATTAATTAATTTTCTACGTTAGTTGTTGATGTGGAGGTGTGGCTTTAAATATTTTCCTAAAATAATTTTATAATTTCGATGGATATAAAAACTACCCAGAAAATAATCTTATTGCACGACGAAAACCAAAAAAGCATCATTCCCTTATCTGATTTTGATTAACTTACTCCTTAGGTTTATATATATATATATATATATATATATATATATATATATATATATATATATATATATATAAATAAATAAAAGATAGGATAGGATAGTTATCTTTCTTGAAGAAAAAAAAGGAAAAAAGATATTTTTTTATTTTTGGACGAAATTTGATTTCGAATTCTTGCAATATATTTTAAATAACTCATGTCTCATTTTAATTACGTCACATAATAAAAATTCATTTCAATGAATGTTTGAGACTTTTTTATATGATTTGATCATGTTAAAATGAGACCATGAAAGTATTCATTTTCTTTTTCCTATGATAAAAAAGGTGTACTATTTTCTAATGAAAAAAGAAAGAAAGGAGTTCACTTACACGTGATATAAGTTAAAAAAAATACACACTGTCTGTATTAAATTAAGGGTAAATGTAAATTTAATACAGAAAAAGCAAGGAATAACGTTTATTAAATTTAGTAATTTTAACCCATTAAATTAAGGGAAAAGCAAATGTCATGTTACAGATAATTTTTGTTTCCTCATGCTCTCAGATCATTTTTCGTGCAAGTTTTTTTTTCATTTTATTTTTCTAATATTTTGTGGATCCTACAAAAACATGTCTATGTAACATGATGTACCAATTTTTCAGTTACATGACATTTACAAAACCCTTAAATTAAAATGAAGCTAATAATTAAAAATTTAGATAAGTGGTCTCATTAAAAAAAACGTCAAAGTAATTCAAAAGTACCAAAAATTGAATTCTAATATTTTAGGCACATTGCAATATATATGAACAGCATTCATGTCATTATTGTCACTGTTGTTATTGTCTTCACTGTTGTGGTTGATAACAGCATAGTCAACATGCCATCCTCACAACATGTACCAAAATAGATGTCCCACTCATCGTGCCTTCCTCTCACAGAAAGACAGTAAAATGCGAATTCCTCATTGGATGTTTCCTATTGTTTTTCATAAAGTTCTTCTACTTTTGTCATATCACAGTTGACGATAATTCATTTTTATTTATCTTATTTTTTCTTTTTTTCTATATTATACTCATATCTTACAAAATAGAAACTAACACCTTCACATAACGATATAATTTTGTCCTTCTGACATGTTTTCAATATTTGAACATTTATATTTCTTTAATAAGCACAGTGCGCCTAACTCCTATATGTGTGTGGTATATAATATCATACTTTCTACTTGTGATTTATTGGCCATCTATTTAGTCAATGATTTTGTTTCTAATATAAATATCTAATGATCAGTTCCCATTATTATCATTAATCTTGCATGGTAAAGTTTACTCGAGTATTTTAGGTATGTGAAAGAAAATACCGACAAAAATTAGTACATTCCCGATCCATGGTAGGTATATATAATAGGTTTAGATGATAAATTTATCTTACAAAACTATCATTAGAAGAGGAGTTAGTAAAACAAATTCATGCAACTAGAACAACTAATTACGATAAACTAACTAAAAAATAATTAAGCAAACGAAACTCCAATCCAAAGGGAACGAGATCTTTTTATGGGTACATTAGTGGATTAAAATTTAGTATATCCTTTAAGAGAGTTAGTTCTACTATAATTTGAATATTTCCGACTTAAATAGAATATTTGTGATTTATCTCCAAAAAAAAAAATAGTATGTGAATGTGTATCTAAGTTTAGAATGGGAATGAATAAAATCAAGTTGAAGTGTTTTTGTTGAGATATATAAAATTATTAATGTAGCCTCACCCAACAGCTTAAGCTTTTGGGTTGAATTGGTTCTTTACATATAATCAGAGTCTTGTCGCCCCCCACTTTCTCTTGTGGAATTTCTTAGCACAGGTAGGCTGAGCCTGTTGCATCATCCACTCTTCAAGCTCAATGGACTCTCGTGTGAGGGGGCGGTTGAGATATATAGTCCCACATTGGTTGTATGTGCAACTAATGTGGAGTTTATAAGGCCTTGGGTACTCTCACCCTTCGAGCTAGCTTTTGAGGTGATGTATCTCAAGGTTCTTAACAGTTTTGGAAACCAAAATTGAATTAATATAATTTATTAGAACTTTGGACACTGATATTTGTAAAAAAAAATTAAGTTAAAGTGCATACAATGAATCTTCAAGAGGATTCAACCACATGATAAAGCAAATCCTAAAGAGAATCTATATGTATAGTTTAAAATCTAGTACGGGAACGAAGAAAGTTAAAGTGCAAATGCAAACAAATGGATCTGCGAGGATTCAACCACAAGTTCAATCAACTCTTAAAAGAGACTTTAGTACCATCGCAGCTATTGGGTAGGATGAGCCAGATTTACTCTCAGTGCATGCTTAATTGGTAGGATGTTTTTACGAAAATAATTATTTTTTCAAAATATAAAATAAACAAATTTAAGCACTTATACAAATCAAATGGGTATAGCTTAGTAGGCAATATAGGCGGAATAGAGTGAGAAAGAACTTGATTTTAAATCCCACCAAATATATATTTGGGGAGGGACGATGAGCTTTAATTGTGACTAAGTCCTAACTCGGAATTTGTCTTATAACTAATTCAAAGAATTGAAAAGATGTAATTAAAGTCGGTATAAAAAAAAGACTTAGATACAAACGACTGTGAACTTTCAGGGGACTCATATACTTGTTAATGTCTTCCTTTATCTTTCCGGATTTGTTTTCAAATGTCTTTTGTCTTGCTCTAATTATGGGAGCTAGATTTTAGGTGAGATTGTAGCTAGGGTGTAAAGAACCAATTCAACCCAAAAGCTTAAGCTGTTGGGTGAAGTTACATTAATAATTTTATATATCTCAACACGTCTCCTCACACGAAAGCCCACTGGGCTTGAAGGGTGGACAATGCACAGGCCCACCTACCTGTGCGAACAAAGAAATTCTACTTGAAAGAAAGTGGGGGGGCAGCGAGGATCGAACCCGGGACACGAGACTCTGATACCATGTAAAAATAAAAAAGACACAGAGATTTATCGTGGTTCAGCTTACATCCACACTGATGACGTTTCTCCCCCTCTCAGTTATATTATAGGAGGGGGGTTCCTTTCAATATAAATAATAGGTGATACAATAATTGGGCTAAATTATTTTTCCCACAATCAAAGAAATCACATGATTTGTTTCCCTCTTTATAGGCTATATTTGATACATGATTACAATCAATCAAATTCCTTGATTTATCTCCTATGATATCTCTAACACTCCCCCTCCAAGTTGAGGCAAATATGTCAATCAAGCCCAACTTGGTAATGATGTTTTGAAAGGAGCTCTTAGGAAGAGCCTTTGTGAACATGTCTGCAAGTTGATCTTCACTTCGGATATATGGTGTCTCAATTATCTTAGCTTGAACTTTTTCTCGAACAAAATGGCAATCCACTTCAATGTGTTTAGTTCTCTCATGAAACACAGGATTTGATGCGATATG